GAATTGTGGTGAGAATAACAAGTTCCACTTAACTTTGATTACAGATGTGAGACACTTCAGGGCTCTTTCCTTCTTTTATGATGAGTGAACCACACAGCAAGGGAACACAGTGCTGGTGGGGGTGGGGTGGGATCACACTGGGACCATCACCTTAACATCACACTCCCAGCAGCCCTGCCGTGGTGGCCACTCCATCAGCTGGAACTTGCAATGCCCAGAGGAAACAAAGCCTTACCACTGTCCCATGAAAGGACGAGGACAGTGGATAAGGTAGAAATCTAGCTTTAGTCCACTGAGGTTGGGGTTGTTGTCACAGTTCAAGCCAGCCTATCCTGACCAATGTGTCCTTCCTCCTTTCTTCTCTGTTTTTCTTTAACAAGTAATTGATAACTTCCAGGGACCCTGAAACCTTCCTTGCCAAGCCTAAGGCTCCTCCAGCTGCCTCCCCATCCTCCCACAGTTTCTCTGACTCCTGAGTCAGGGGGTTGTTAGCTTTGGGGCAGGCACCAACTTTTCTTGCAGGACCCTAGCATCAAAGTGGGAGGTTTGGAGGCCTTGGGAAATGACCTGGGTGCCAGCTTGTCCCCGCTTCTCTCCCCAAGGACAGGACAGCCACCAGAAGCAGAGCCACAGGCTCCCACAGGCGGTCGCCAGCTCCCACTCCCATGTCAGGTCAAATTCTCTCAGTAAATCACTTACAAGCTAGCACTCTTTATGCTTCCAATTCTCTGATGAACCCTAACTGGTAAACACAGATACCAGCAAAAGACTGGTTAATTCTCCCCTCCCATTTCTATTGTTTACCCAACTTCTTCAGAATAATGGCACGGGGGTGGGAATGATTAGTAAGCTGGCCAGGTACTCCTGGGTCCTCATCCAAATTTACTGAGATACCCTTACACAAGAATAAAAAAGAATTATGAAAGTTCTTAAAGTGGGTGAAATGTGTTATGTTAAGTCAGCACCCACAGGATATACAAGGTCCAAATCATGGTGTTAACACTTAACAAAACAAGGACAGTAAGGAGCAGAGAAGCCAATCAGAGAGACAAGAAATTGATCTGTTCTGAACATGTGATTCACCCTTCATTTATTAAATACTTAATATGTTAGGAAGTCTGCTATTAAATGAGGTGACAAAATTATCATCAGTGACCAGTTTGACCAGTAAAATCCCCTCCAATAGCTTCCATGTCCCTTGAAATGTTCCCACATTGTGTGTGTGTGTGTCTTGTTAATCCTCACCCAAGGATATTTTTCCATTGATTTTTAGAAAGAGTGGAAGGGAGGGGAGATTCCAGGGCCAGGGATTGAGCCTGCAACTGAGGTACGTGCCCTTGATTGGAATTGAACTCAGGACCCTTCATTCCGAAGGCCTATTCACTGACCCAAACCAGCTAGGGTTGTTCCTATAATTTTTTGAGCTTGTCCTTATTTTCTAGCACAATAAGATGATCCAGGCTCACCTTGTATCTTACTGTTTCAGCCCAGAATCAGCCAGGTTTTCAAGAATCCCTGGCTTCTTTTAGCATAGTGACATTTAAAAACCAAGATCTGGCCACTGGGTTGCTTATTGCTGTCGGGGTTTTATTTCTTCTGACTTTCTGTCTGTCTATCTACCTTTATATCTGTCTATCTAGATTACTCTAACTCCAGTGCAACAAATACCTCAGTACTCATTTTAGCCTCCTCCCATTTCAATTTGTATCTATCTTCTCCTACAGTGAGAAGCCTGGCTCCTAACACCTCAATGTATATATTTGTTTGCTTAATTTTATAATCCATCAAAATAGTTTCAAAATTACTATAATTATGGCCTACAAAAGAACCTGTTAAGCAGATTTTAATATTTCTGTTTTGCAATTTTTTTTCAACTGAGAGTATTTAGATAAAGTATTGGTCCAAATATTACTTTTATTATTTATTTTCTTTTTCTTTCATGCGGTCATGCTATTAATTTAAAATATGGTTCATTGGTTTCTGTTTGCATTCAATTTTCTTTTTTCTTATCCTTGTTGATTTATTTCATTTTTGAATGTGTAAAACATTAACAAAGTTTTAAAGTCAAAACTATATGCAGAGAAGTGTTGATTCCTCCTCTATTCATTTTATTTCCAACCCATCATCGCTAGGCAACCAATATTATTAATTTGTCTTCTCCTTCCTATGTTTTTGTGTGTTTTTTAAGAAATGAGAAACTTTCTTACTCACATGACATACTACATATACTCTTTTTTTTTTTTTAAATTGACTTGTAGAGAGAGAGAAAGAGAGATGCAAAAGTAAAACATCAATCAGCTGCCTCCTGCACCCCCCACAGGGATCAAGCCCTGACTGGGAATCGAATCAGCAACCCTTCAGTACACAGGATGACGCCCAAGTGAGCCACACCAGCCAGGGCTATATGCTGGTAAATGCTTTTGTGCTTTTTTTTCACTCAATAATCATATTCTGAAAGTCACCCCAAATAGTTTACGGAGATCTCTGTTTTGATAGATGCAAAGCCCTTACCTAAATAAATGGGTATGGTTGTGTGCCAATAAAATCCTATTTACAAGAGTTGGTGAGTTGGATTTAGCCAGCAGGCCATGGTTTCTCAACCACTGCTCTAAAGAATGCCCTATGGCTGAAGGAGAGAACCCAGATAGGACAAAATTGGAAGGGAGGAATCCTTCCAGTAGAGTTAAACCTATTTGGAGAAGGCATGGTTGCAGCCTCCTAGATGGCGGAGAATTTGCTGGCTTTCCTAGGCCAAAGTTTTCCACAGTTGCCAGGCAAGCAGGAAACAACCCTCTGACACATAGGCACAGAATTGGTCAGGGCCCCCCCTGGAACACTTGGTATCCCCACCAGGAGGTCCACAGCAAGCTGGTCATGAGGCTTGGGCTGGGGCTGGAACTCTCTAAGGGACCAGGCACTCCAACACCACTTGGTTTCATCATCACCTTCACTTCCACCCTCATTATCCCCATTGCATACCATAATGGACGCTGTGGCAAGGAGCAAGTAAGAGCAAACCCCAGCACCTCAGAACCACAATAGCCCCCTTCCTTCTGCAATGTTCCTCCTGCGCCCTCTACTGACAAAGCTAAACATTGTGCTGTCTGTTATGGAGAAATGCTTTGAGTCCTGTCTGTTATCACAGAGCAGGTATTAAAGAGTAAAACTGAAGTTGAGAGGCTCCTACAGTAAATTCTTAAAAACTGGATTTATGAGTCAAAGGGTAAATAAATAATTTGCTAGTTTATGAAAAATGTATTCCCATAGGGGTTTATCATTCTGCATTTCCACCAATAATATATGAGAGTACCATCACTGTACCACCTCATCAATATATATTAATAAAGAGCTAATATGCTAATGGTTGATACACCCTAACGGTAACGACCAGGTCATTAGCGTATTAGCCCGGGCGTTGCTCTGGAGACGGGCGGAAGTGGGGAGGCGCCCAGAGGAGGCGGGACAGTCCTTCCCCACCCACCGCTGGCACTCTGAGTGCCCCGCGGCCCACCTGCCAGGGGACGGAGCACTGCACAGGCTTCCGCTCTTCTCCGGGGGCGCCATGATGGGGCGGAGCTGCCGTGTTATTCCGGAGATGGGGTGGAAGCGGAGGCGCCCAGAGAAGGCGGGACCAGCCCAAGGCCTCTGGAGGGACTGAGTGTGGGGCTTGAAGCGGCCAGAGGAGGCCAGAGGGCTTGGGGGCTGGGCCAGGCGCTCTGCGTGGACAGGTTCAGCGTCAAGGCAGGGCGGCAGGTGGGTGGGCCGCGCCCCGCGATTCCCAATCGGGAGCTGGGCTCCTCGTGTAATTATAAAATCTTACCTCAGTGTAGTTTTAAATTACATTTCTTTTACTATTAGGAAATCTGACTATCTTTTCATAGGCTAAGAGTTATTTTTATCTTTTTGGTTGTTGTAAATTGTCCATTTTTCTATAGGACAACAAAACAAGCTCTTAAACAGCTTAGAGCAGGAAAAAGATCAGCTACAACTGAACTCACTTGTGAAGAAACAGTTTTGTAAAGTTTTTTTGTTGTTGTTTTCCCTCAAATTACAGACCAAAGTTTAAACAAATTCAGTTTATCTCAATGTTCACTAAGTTCTCTGTGTGGGTCTGGGCACCAGAGGTAGAGTAAGACATGGTCCTTGCTCTTAAGGATCTTACATCTTGATGGAAAAATAGATGTATGAAATTGGGAGACAGTAGAACATAGCAATTAAAATATGGGTTAGGTTCAAATTCTGATATTGAATTTCAATAATTAGCTGTGTAATATTTGGTGGGTCACTTTTATCTTTATGCCTCAATTTCTTAAGATGGAAATAATAATATGCATCTCATAGAGTTATTATAATAACTAAATGAATTATTATATGAAAACAGTACACTTCCTGGTACATAATAAACACATACTAACTAATTATTAGTAATAATAAATGAAAACGATTATACTAGTAGTGACAAAAGTGATAGAGGAATTTACATTGCAATGATAACTTATATAAGCTCATTAAATTATAGTTGAATTTTAAAGTGTATGATGAACTGGATCTAAGATGGTAGTGGATTAGGTGGAAGTTACACTCACTTCCTCCCAGGACCAAACTGGAATTACAACTGAAATATAGAACAACCAACCAGAATAATCAATCAAAGATTAGCTGAACAGAAGTCCTATAGCTAAGGATTTACAGAAGAAGCCACATTGAGACTGGTAGGAAGGGCAGAGATGCGAATGGGCTGGCCCTGCTCCCACAGGAGGCAGCTGAGATCACAGAGGGATATCTCAGCAACCAAGGCTCCCTCTGAGAAGCAAAGGGTCTCAAACCCCATATTAGTCCCCCCAAACCAGAGCACCAGAGTCAGGAAAAGGTGCCCACATAACATGTGGCTGTGAAAAATCATCAGGGATTCTGCCCACCGGGGAGAGATGAAAGTCTGCTAGAGGCACAGGCACCCTCTTAAAAGTCCAACGCACAAAATCTCGTTTGCAGCCACTCACCATGGGCTCCAGAAGAGGAACAGAGAAGGCTCAAGTTGCGGAGGAGCAAATGGGCTTTGTGGCTCCCAGGAAAGAGCTGAAGGCACAGCCACCAGGGTCCCTGTGCTGAGTCCCTCTGTTATGCCGCAGAGGCCATCTTTCTGGATGGAACACCTTCCTTATTGCATCAGCCTGGAGGAATGCAATAACTCCACCCTTCAGACTTCTTGTTGCCCCACCCTGGGAAGTTCACAACCCGTGATAAAGTCAGCTGCCTGGGGCCCAGAGTGTAGAGTTCTGGGCAGGCTCAAGGGCTGAGTTTTGTGGCTCTGTAGTAGGGTCCATTACTCCCACCTTCCTGTGAGCCTAACCAGCATCTCTCTCTCGTGGGAGATCCACTAACCCCAACCTCTGGATTCCTGGCGGCCCCACCCTGCCAAACTGGGGCTCTCCAGAAGGTCTGGGCAGAATACAGGACAGACTGAGTTGTGTGGCTCTAGGCCATTTTTACCTCACAAGCCTTACCAGTGTAGAGCCCTCCCTTCACACGGCCAAATCCTGTTCTGTTTGGGTCTGATAAACTTGGCTGGCCTCACACTGACAATTATCTGAGACTCCACCCCATCACAAAGGTCTGGGCACCGAATGGATGGCAGCTAGACCTGATATATCTTGGGACTTTTGCTGAAAGCCCTCAGACCCAGCACTAGCACCAAGTTTGAACCTGTACCAGTCTGGTGAATACCACTTGCCCCTATCTGGTGATGCACTAAGAACCTACCTCATACAACTCAAGTACCACCAGAGGCTCTGTCAGTGACTGAACCTAACAGGCAATTGGCAGGCAGATCTCAGGTTTCCCTGGGCCTTTGGCTGACCTGACTCCGGGTTGGGTGCTGATGGACAGCTTGGTACTCTCCACAAACGCACAGGCCCAGCAGAGGCAACCACAAACTATGTATCACTTTGTAGCTCCTAACAGGTTGCCCAGGGCTAGTCACAGACAGCATCTGACATTGACCTGCAGCAGAGTCCCTCCCAAGAGACCCCAGAACAACACACACAGTGGCTGAGCTTTAAACAGAGCAGGATCTAATTAGATATCAAGGGATATCTCGGCAGGCTCCAGACCCTGCTAAGGTGAATTAGGCTTTGTGTGGTCAGCACCTGCACAGCAGCTCATACACTGTGGTTGGGGCTGAATCTTACAATCAGACAGCCTGAAGGTCAACCTCATGCATGAACAGGCCAATAGCAATCAAGACATAATTACAAGCCCGGCCCGCGAGGCTCAGTGGTTCAGCATTGACCTATGAACCAGGAGGTCACAGTTTGATTCCTGGTCAGGGCACATGCCCGGGTTTCGGGCTTGATCCCCAGTAGAGGCTGTGCAGGAGGCAGCTGATCAGTGATTCTTTCTCATCATTGATGTTTCTATCTCTTGCTTCCTTTCTCTCCCTCTCTCTGAAATCAATAAAAAACATATTTTAAAAAAAGACACAATGACAAGAGGAGGGCTCATATAATTCACACAAGGGACATTCCTGGAGCACCCAGCTCAGATGATCAAGGAGAATGTGCCACTGGGTCCCAAAGGACACCTTCTACATAAAGCCACCTTACCCGGAAAGGGAGACAGCACATCTACCTAATACTTAGAAACAAACACAAAGAGGCAGCCAAAGTGAGCATACAAAGAAATATGCTCCAAATGAAAGAACAGGAGAAATCTCCAGAAAAAGGAGCTAAATGAATTGGAGGCAAGTGATTTACTAGATATAGAGTTAAAAGAAATAGTATTAAGGATGCCCAATAAAATGTGAGAGAACTTCAACAAAGAGATAGCAAGCATAAAAAAGGACATAAAAACCATATACCTGTCAGAAATGAAGAATACAATATGTGACAAACCCACAGCTAACATGATGCTCAATGGGGAAAAACTAAAGGCATTTCCCTTAAGAATAGGAATTAGCCCTGGCTGTTGTGCTTAGTGGTTAGAGCACCTGCCCATGAACTGAAGGGTTGTAGGTTCGATATCCGAGCAAGGACGTGTACCTGGGTTGCAGGTTTGATCCCCATCCCCTGTCAGGCCACATGTGGGATATGTCTCTTTCACATTGATGTTTCTTTCTCTCTCCCCCTCTCTCCCTCTCTTCTACTCTCTCTAAAAATCAATGGAAAAAATATCCTTGGGTGAGGATTAACAAAACAAAAAAATTGATATAAAACAGGAATTTCACACTCATTCAACGTAGTCTTAGCCACAGCAATCAGGCAAAAAGAAGAAATAAAAGGCATCCAAATTGGAAAGGAACAAGTAAAACTGTCATTATTTGCAGACGACATGATACTGTATATAAAGAACCCTAAAGATGCCACCAAAAAAACTATTAGAACTGATAAATGAATTCAGTAAAGTAGCAGGATACAAAATAACTATCCAGAAATCAGTTGCATTTTAACCAATAGTGAACTATCAGAAAGGGAAACTAAGAACACAATCCCATTTGCAATTGAATACGAAAAATAAAATGACTAGGAATAAGTTTAACCAAGAATGTAAAAGACCTGTACTCAGAAAATTATAAGACCCTGAAGAAAGAAAATGAAGAAGATACAAATAGAATCATATACCGTGTTCATGGACAGGAAGAATTAACATCATTAAAATGTCCATATTACCTAAAGCAATCTATAGATTCAATGCAATTTCTAGCTAGATACCAATGGCATATTTCACAGAACTAGAACAAATATTTCAAATATACATATGGAACCACAAAAGACCCTGAATAGTCCCAACAATCTTGAGAAAGAACAATGTTGGAGAGATCATGCTACCAGATATCAAACTATACTATAAGGCCATAGTAATCAGAACAGCATGGTACTGGCATAAAAACAGACATATAAATCAATGGAACAGAATAGAGAGCCCAAAAATAAACCCACACCTTTATGGTTAATTAATATTTGATAAAGGAGGCAAGAAAATATAATGGGGTAAAGATAGTCTATTCAATAAATGGTGTTAGATATATAGGACAGATTTGTGCAAAAAAATAAAACTAGACCACCTTCTTACACCATACACAAGAATAAACTAAAAATGGATTAAAGGTTTAAATGTAAGACTCGAAACCATAAAAATCCTAAAAGAAAACAGAGGCAGTAAAATCTTGGACATTTCTCTTAGCAATACATTTTCTGGTAAATTTCTTCAGGCAAGGTAAACAGAAGAAAAAATAAACAAATGGGACTACATCAAAGTAAAATATTTTTGCACAGCAAAGAAAACCTTCAACAAAATGGAAAGACAACTCACTGGATGGGGAACATAGTCTCCAAAGGTACAACTAATAAGAATTAACATCCAAAATTTATAAAAAACTCAACCTTAAGAAAATAAACAATCAAATTAAAAAATGGACTAGGGCCCTAGCTGGTTTGGCTCAGTGGATAGAGCGTCAGCCTGCAGACTGGAGGGTTCCGGGTTCAATTCCAGTCAAGGGCACATGCTTGTGTTGCGGGCTCAATCCCCAGTAGGGGGCGTGCAGGAGGCAGCTGATCAATGATTCTCATCATTGATGTTTCTATCTCTATCTCCCTCTCCCTTCCTCTCTGAAATCAAATACACACACACACACACACACACACACACACACACACACACACAGTAGGGACCTGAATAGAAACTTTTCTAAAGAGGACATATAGATGGCCAATAGACATATGAAAAAATACTCAATGTCACTAATCATCAGAGAAATGGAAATTAAAACCTCAATGAGATATCACTTCACATCTGTCAGAATGGCTATCTATTATAATAAAAGTGTAATATGCTACTTAGACCGGACATCCTTCTGGAAGACCTTCCAGATGAAGCCAGGGCTGCGAGGGAAGCCCGGGTCCCAGGTGCCAGAGGGAAGCTAGTGCTGGCAGCTGGGGGAACTAAGGCCTACTCTTACACAAATTTCATGCATCGGGCCTCTAGTCATCAATAAATCAACAAACAAGTGTTGGCCAGGATGTGAAGAAAAGGGAACCTTGTGCACTGTTGGTGGGAATGCAGATTGGTGCAGTCACTGTGGAAAACAGTATGGAGGTTCCTCAAAAAATTAAAAATATAACTGCCTTATGATTCAGTGATGTCACTTCTGGGTATATAGCCGAAGAACCTCAAAACACTAATTCAAAAGAATATGTGCACCCTTATGTTCATTGCAGCATTATTTACAATAGCTATGCTATGGAAGCAACCCAAGTAACCTTCAATAGATGAGTGGCCAAAAAAAAAAAAAAAAGATACATATATGCAATGGAACTATTACTTGGCTATAAAAAGAATGAAATCTTATCATTTGCAATAGCATGGATGGAGAGGGCATTATGTTAAGTGAAATAAGTCAGATAGAGAAGTACAAACACCATATGGTTTCACTTACATGTGGAATCTAAAGAACAATATATATGAGCAAACAAAACATAAAAAGACTCATAGATACAGAGAACAGATTGATGTTTGCCAGAGGGGAGGGGGTTTGGGTCTGGGTGAAAAAGGTGAAGGGATTGAGAAGTACAAATTGGTAGTTACAAAATAGTCATGAGGATGTAAAGTACAGCAGAGGAAATATAGTCAATAATGTAATGTTGTATGGGGCCAGTTTGGTACTGGAAATATCAGCGAGGAACACTTGGTAAAATAAATGATAGTTTAACCACTATGCTGTATACCAGAAACTAATACAAAATGCTATTGAATGTATAATTAAAAAAATTAAAAATTAATTTGAAAAAATCTTATCTGAAGAAATAAAAATAAAAGTATGTTATGGCCAAATCATTAAAAATATTTAAACCATAAGCAGTACATTTGGTTTAATAAAAATCCATGAAAATTTTTATATAATTTTCTTAATATTGATGAAATAAAGGCTTAAGTAAGTAGGAAAATCACAAATAGAAAGAACAAATCTCCGAATCTGAATTTTTAAAAATGTATCTCTTTTTTAAAAAATATGTCTTTAATGATTTTTTTTTCTTTTTAGAGAGAGAGGAAGGCAGAGCGACAGAGAAACATCAATGAGAGAGGAACATCATTGATCGGCTGCCTCCTACACATCCCCCATTAGGGATCGAGCCCACAAC